CTCTCTCTCTCTCTCTCTCTCTCTCTCTCTCTCTCTCCCTCTCTCTCCCTCCTATCTTTTCTGTCCTACCCTTCTCTTTCTCTCTACCCCCTCCCCTCCCCCCGCAGTTTTTCTCCTCACGACATTATGCGCAATAGTATTCAAATGGTTACAAACCACACAGATTCTTTTCTGAGCCTGCCGCCTCTCGCTTCTCTCTTTCGCTGTTTACTTCCCCGCCCCGCCCCTCCCCGCGCACATTACCATTTGGCCGCCCAATAACGCCCCATCATTATTTCGGCACGCTGCACAAAAAGTGTTTCTGGGGCTGTTTACACTCTAGAAACCCAAGTGTACGAATGTTGCACACTTGTAGGCGAGTGAATTCCCAGTCGCGCACTTAGACCATGTAGTAAGGGTGTGCATTTTCCAGTAAAAATCGTTTACTTAAGAGTCCTCAAGTGCACAAATGGGAATCCACAGTCCACACACCTACAAGAGTGTGACATTCACACAGCTGGATTTTCAGTGTTGCTAAAAAGAGCGCCACTTGTAGTCGACCGCGATCGTAATGTATGAACAATATTACTTCTCTCCGATATAAGACAAGATCGTCTGCTTGCTACCTGCGAGGGTATGATACTAAAAACATGCAACACGACAGGCGATGATCTCACCGTCCACTTGATTCGACACGACCGTGATGAAGCAAAGTATTGCGACCACGGTGGACAGTTGTCTCTCTCCGTCGAGGAAGTGCAGTGTTTTGTGAACCGCCCCTGCGAGTGGGGAGTCCGAAAGGATCTACGGCACATACTCAGACGCACATTCACGCACCGACCGTGGAGAAAGGCGAAAGAAAAGGAGAGGCCGCACGGAAGCACAAGAAAAAAAAGTTGCAGCCCGCGTGATCGTCGTCATCTCTCGCTTGTCGTCGTAGGAGTAAAAGTAATAAAAAACAACAAAAGAGCGCGCCCGGAAAAGACGTTGCGGAGAGACCCCGTATTTTTATATTACTCCAACTCGCTGGCGGTATTTGCATAATTCGGTACTTGGCTGTTCCGGAGGCCCGCCGCCCACGCAAATCATCCCCCCCCCCCTTTACCACCACCAGCCATCCTCGCCTTTCGATTCGCGAGAGCATCTAAAAGTCGACGCTCTAAATTTTTTCCGCGCTCCGCTCGCGCAGAATTCTTTGCCTCGTTCTGCTGCTGCCGCTGCTGCTGCTGCTGCTGCTGCTGGCACAGAGCGGAGCCAACGTCGAGCAGAGCTGGCCATGGTCGCTCCATAACGTAGTAGTGGAGGCAAGCATGTGCGAGGAGAGAGAGAGAGAGTGAGTACACGACCACGACCCCCCCCCCCCCTCATCCGGAACCCACGTGGTTCGCGGACCATCCCTTATATCCCGTCGTGGAAATCAATGTTCCGTTGAATACGCACCTTGCTGTCACAGACCGGAGCCAGCATCATCAAACACAGAAAAGGGTTAACGATCTCCGGACGCGGAGGGGGACGCGAAGGGCGGCCCGCCCCGGCCGCGGACGGACAGACAGAGTCGGGGGCCGAAAGACGGGCTGACGAGCACGCGAGCGGACTGCAAGAAGTGATCGGTTATTTGGTGGGGAATCTGCTGGGATTTGGGGCCAGCGGAGTAGTTTTCGCAAGTTAGTCTTGCGACGCGCGGGGGGAAAAGGCGGGACTGGGAGGGGAGGGGAGGAGGGGATGGCGGCGCCAATGTCTCAGAGATAAGAGTACAGTAGTGTGGATGCCGATAGCCCCTGGTGGTCCCACTCAATGCGGACCTGCGCCCAGAGAGAAAACAAAGAAGTATGAGAGGGAGGTTTCGCATAGCGCGCACACGAGACCACGAGACCAACAACTCAGCATAGCGCCGGGCGCGCATAGCAGGCAGGGAGGAGCCCGTGATGCAGAAGGACAGCGCGACGAGGCCCTTCCGGACCTTTGATGTCGCTGTGGATTGGCCGAACAAGGCCGGGGAGGAGGACACTCCCAGGACGTGGCGCAGGTCTCAATCGGAAGCTCAAAGGGTTGCGGTCGTGTCAGGACGTGTGCGTGCACCAGCAAATATTTTTATGTATGAAAAAAAAAGTGTACAGATATACACACACGCTGTCGCTGCAGCATGGTGTGTTATTAGTGACATTACATATGAAAATTGTTGGACGAATAGCCAACGAAGTATGCAAAATGCTACGGTTTTAATTGTCATCCTTAATCGGAACTTTTCTGTCCAGCATATGGATCTATCGTCGTGATATCGATGGGGCGTCACTATTCTCTGGCAGCTGACCCATCGTCTCTTCAGCATTTCAATTGGTATGAGTCGTTTACTCAAAATAATCATAGTGAAAATAACCATATAATTTCAATTAAAAAAAGAAAAACATCAGTTGATTCATTAACATTCCCTAGTAACTGCTCCAAGACAAAAGAAAAAAAATGTAACTTAAAAAATACAAACATGAGAAACATCTTATTGAGTTCCTGTAATGGAAAGACTTCCGCTATCCGGGACAAGTTGGTCGGACTGACCGAGAAACGGCCAGAGGGGCCGGGGCCAGCCGGGGCCGGGGGTGGCTCAAGTGGACTGCTGCTGCCGCTGCGGGCGGAGCCGTGCCGGAGCAGAGAGGTTGCAGGACGTGATTGTGCGGGAAAAGAAGTTAGTTCCGCTCCGGCGCCTGTCCTGTCCCCGCCGCGCCACGCCGCGCTTCGCCTGATTGAGTGACTGATCGCACTCACCCCCTGCTCCCCTCCGGCGCCACGGACGCTCAGAATGACACGAAACCCCACCAAATTCTTTTTCTTGCTCGTTTTTTTTTATTTCGTCTTGAATGAAACGACACTTCTCTGAACCTGAACCAGACCACGGACTGAAATGCCAGTGCAACTGGTGGTACAACACACATGAGACCTTACAGATGATAGGTGTTTGCACCACAAGTAAAGTAGGGGCTTCAATCGGATGCAATGGACTATAATGATAATAAAACAAGACTTCCGGCCATGTTTTCGTTCGATTATTGCCGTCGTGTGTCATCTTTGAGCCGATGTCTGAGACCAGAGGTTGGGGCCGTTTCCCAGGGCAGCCGCGTAGAACGGGCCGCGTGTTCGTGCTGTCGTTTGGCTCAAGGAGTAAGCGAGGGCGAGGGAGAGCGAGCGAGAAGGAGAGAAAGTGTGTATAGGAAAGGGTTTGGCGGGAACACCAAACGAACCGCGACAAGCACAAGCACACAAGTGCGTGGCAGGCCGGGCGACAAGTGTAGGCGGCCATATGATATAGTTTATTCGCATTGGTCCCGGGGGAAGGCTCGGCGCCATGTGGCGGCCTCGCGGCCCGGCCCGGCCCACGGGGTGGCCCTCCAAGGGTTACCACCTCGTGCCGCATCGCCGCCGTGGGAGAGGACTAACAGATATCTTATAGCCATCGCGGAGGGGCTGGCCTGACCCTGGCCGGGTTGGGGTGGCAGCTACCCCTGCGAAAACAACTACTCGAGTCGGTCGTGGTCCGGGTATCACACGGGGTAGACAAGGACAGAAGGAGGAAGGGGTACGGGGTGACAGAGAAGGCTCAAAGAAGGAAGAGAGAAGCGGGGCGGAGGGGGCCCCGTCGACAAGCACCAATGAATTCATGACCCGCACAGCAGGACAGGGGGCGGCTGCGAGCGGCCCCCGCCGCCCGGCCCAGCATCTCGGCCATACGAAGACGTGGTCCAGAACCTCTGGCCTCCGTCAGCATCCCCGCCCCCGCGGGCTGCGCGGGGGAGACCAGGGGGGGCTCAGCAGAAGGGCACCCAGGAAGCCGCCCTAGTGGAGCGTCTCAGCGCCGCGACGCCCTGGCCGGGGCCCTGGCCGGGGCGCCGCCCCCCGCGGGGCCAGGCCACGCCCCTCCGCGGCGCCGGCCCCGCCCATTGGTCGGGCGTCGCCCCCACCCCACCCCGCCGCTCCCCGCGCCGCCACCCCCCGCGCGCACCCGCGGAGCCTTCTGCTTGCAGCGTCGTCTGCTAGCGGTACGGGGACCGTCTGGGAGCGGGGAGCGGTCGCGTTGAGGTCTCCGTCGTGGTCTGCTGGGGAAGCTTAACCAAGCTTAACTAGTTTTACTCTGATCTGAGCTTCACTAATGGCAGTAAAGTGATTGTTTTCACAATACTACCATCCACCCCCCGCAGAACGGGAGTACAAGTTAATGTACAAATGAAGTGTACCGAGTGTTTCAGAAAAGACAAAGGTGCGGGCGGGCTTGCCTACCCAAGGGGCTATGTAGCCTTACGGACAGAGTGGGTAGGCAAACCCGCCCGCACCTGTATATTTGAGGAAACACCTGGTACTTACCCTATTGTACTCGGCAAGGCTGGTTATGATTTCGGAAACGAATCCTAATATACCATTTTGGTTTCACCTTTATGGCTCTAAATCGTGACTGTCTCCTCCAGCATAATTGTCGGTGTCGTTCTTCAACTCCTTTTCTTTTCGTCTCCGCTGATTCCCTTCTCCGCGGTGTGAGCATCCACCTCCTCCGCGGACGGCCCCCCGGGCCGCGCGCGGCCGCGCCACCCTCTGGTGGGGGGCGGTCCGGGCGGGTCCAGCTGGCGCGCTGGCGGAGGGACGGCAGCAGCCAGTAGGAGCGCAGGTCCTGCCTGACGGCCGCCGGGACCAGAGGGGATAAAGCAGACCGCAGCTCCAGCGCCGCGCCAGTCTGCTCCGAGCCGCCGAACCGGGCAGAACGTGCGCGCGTGCGAGCGAGCGCGACCCCACCAGGACCTCCGCGACGAGAGTCGCTCGCGTAAAAGTGAAGTGCGACGTGTTTGTGAGTGAGTGAGTGTGTGTGACCCCGGTGGACTAAAGGATTATTATGCTGTGGACTGCGTGCGGACCGGCGCTCACCTGCTCGGCTGGGACTGCGAGCATGAGATAGCCACCGAGTGATTTCGCGCGTCCGTGAAGCTCGACTTATCGAGTCCCCGTGTAGCGGCCCGTCAGCTGAGAACTGAGGTGAGTGGTTGATCAAGTGCCTGGCGACCTGCATTGGATCACTCTGTGCACGCCCGCCCCGGCCGGGTGGCGCGCCCCGCAAGTGTTGTAAGATGTTAAATAAAATGTTGGTCCGCAGGATGACCATGGACATGCACCTGCAGCAGAGAGGAGGCCTCCGGGTGGAGGCGGCCTCGCTGTCCAACAAGGGCTCGACGGCGTCCCCGGCGTCCTCGGAGGCGTCCCCCATGTCCGAGCGGACGGGGTCCCCGGCCGGAAGCCCGGCCGCGTCGCCCTCCCTGCCCATGCCCGTCATCCACAACAACAACAATAACAACAACAAGTCACCGCCGCCACACCAAACCAACAAGATGTCCATCAAAAGGAGTTTCGACGTGGCGTTCCTGATGGCTCCCGACGACCTGAGCACCATCAAGAAGCGGCACCAGGAGCAGGAGCAGCAGCTGCGGCTCGTGACCACCGCCTCCCTCATGATGAGGTCCGCGATGACGCCCCTGAACGTCGCCATAACGCCGCCGCAGCCGCCGGAGCACCAGCAGCAGCGGATCTTGCAGCAGCACCCGCCCAGCCTGATGGTCATGGGCCACGGCCTCCACGACGATCAGGCGCGCTCGGCCTTCACCAAGGTGTCTTCATCGGCGTCCTCCCTGTCGGGGCCAATGTCTGGTCCTTTAGCGGGGCCGATGGGCGGCGCCGGGCTGTTGCTCATGCAGAACCCTCCGCTGCCCACGTCGCCGTCATCAGTGTCGTCCGTCTCGGGGGGCGGCCTGTCTCCGGCATACCAGAACAGCCTCAGCCCGTCCCCGGGGCCCGGGCCGGCGTCATCCGCCGCGTCCACACCCAACTCTACCCCACTGGGGGTGGCGCCGGGGACTCTGCCGGGGGCGGGCTCTCCGCCGTACGCCTACCACGCGGCGCCGGCCGCCGGGCCCACCCCCTCCGCCCCCGGGCCCGGCATGCCGTACGGCGCGCCGCCATTCTACGTGCCTCAGGCCCACCCGCCCCCGGGGCCGGCCGCCAGCGCCCCGCCCCCGGCGTCCTCGCCCTCCCCGCAGGACAAGCAGGGCGCCGCCAAGGGCCGCCGCTACTCGCCGCCCTCGGCCAACGGCGCGGCCTCCTTCGGGTTCTCGTCGTACGGCAAGCCCCAGGAGCTCATGGCCGGCTTCCACAAGATGAGGCCGTCCCAGTCGGGCCACGGCATGGGCCACAACCCCATGCTGTACCCGGACTCGCTGGCCGCTTACACCAACCTGGCCGCAGCCGCGGCCGCCGCCTACCCGTTCGGGGCGGCTCCTCCCCCCTCCGCCCCCAGCGCGGGGTCGGCCCTGGCAGCGGCCGTGTCCGCATCCCTCATGCCGCCCACCCTGGCCGCGCTCTCCCTCCCGGCGCAGAACGTGTGCGCCAAGTGCAACGTGAGCTTCAGGATGACGTCGGACCTCGTGTACCACATGCGAGCGCACCACAAGAGCGACCACGCCGTCAACGATCCCGGACGCCGTCGTCGAGAGCAGGACAAGCTAAAGTGCCCCGTATGCGCGGAGAGCTTCAGGGAGCGGCACCATCTCACCAGGTAGGCGATGATAACAACTCTTGAACTAAAATTACGCGTGACCCTCGATTGCGCTGACAGCTTACCTAATCTCATTGTTCTTTTCTTTCCTCAGGCACATGACGGCCCACCAGGACAAAGAGGGGGACGCAGGCGAGGAGCACGATGCGCAGCTGGACTTGTGCGGCGGAAAGACGTCGCCGGCCTCACGACGTCGCACCGGCATGCCGAGCGTCGCGACAACCTCTATCCTTGCAGGCAGCGTGGCCAAGTGACGTCGGCCCTCGCCAAAGCGGCAACAACAGCAACAGCAACAGCAGCAGCAGGACCTGCAGTTACAACAGCAGCAGCAACATCAACAGCAGCAGCAACAGCAGCAGCAGCAGCTGGCCCAGCGCCGCGCTCTGGCTGACGGCAGCGCCCACATGTACCACCGCCTAGCTGCGGCGGCCGCTGCAGGGGATTCACCGGCAGACCTCAGGCACGGCTACTACCTCATCAACAACTACTACAAGTTTCACTGACGAGCGTGACCAGGAGTGCGCGCCCGCTTCCGACTTTAAAGGACTTTTGAATTGAGGCAAAATGCCGAGGAGCAGGAGAAAACGTGTGCAGAGTTATCCAAACTAGGTCATTTAAATCTGTGATAAAAATATATATCTAGTCGACAGAAAGTTATTGCAAGCTCATAATGTTATTTATTATTACTACTTGTTAAGTTTTATTTTATTTTCACTTTTCTTTGTTGTTGTCGATTTTGAGAGTGTATGTGGAATTACAATTAATTCGAACTTTTTGCGAAGTTTACATTTAAATTTGTTGGTGCAGTCTATGGGGATGAACACCATTCAGATACGTAAACGTTACCTAGATAAATTAATATAGTTACCAAATCTAGAGGTTCCTGAAATATTCAGGAATTTCCCTTCTGATATTACGTCAGCTTTTAGAATACTGCGATAAGGCCGATCCATGTTGCCCCTATCTCTATTCTCGTATCCTTTGCCGCACAAATAACTATATATTCAAGCACTAGGAGCAAACGGATCAGAAGGAAATACGCAATTATTCATAGAAGCCAAATGGAAATTAACTGAAATAAAGCGATGTGATGTCTGTATACATTTGTCTCGTTGTTTTCCGTCGACCACACCAGCTGCAGATACATCCGCCCTCTGAACATCACTTTCCCACAGCGCCCGAACACACGCACACACGTCGTCGATTTGTATATAAAAGAACGGGGGAATTTATTTGGAAACAAAAACTGAAAGAACGCCGAAGGAATGGCGATCCTTTCTGCTATTCATGCAGATGCGGACGATCTGGACGCGAAGCGCACTTGGCCGGAACGTCGTAAACTCGGTGAACATATTCAATGACAGGGAGCTGGCCAGCACAGCAAGCCCCAGTGAGCTGGGGCGGGGCGGGCGGAGAACAAAAACCGCACAGATTGGAATCGGAGCAGGGGTAAATTTATGGCCACAACACGAAACAAACTTTCTACCCCTTGCATACAGCACGGCGAAAAGCAAAACTAGAAGTGAAACGAACAAACGGACTGCGAGACGAACGGGAGAGAGAGAGAGAGATAGGAAAGGAGAGACAGAGAGCGAAGGCGAGTGAGGGAGAGAGAGAGGGGGGGGGGGAGAAGTCACGGCCCCACTCAAACACAAAGCTTATCATATCGTTCTCAGTCCATTTAATTTAAACATCACTCGCCACGGATCGAAAGGAATCAGCGTTGCTCGGAGGGAAGAGGGGGGAGGGAGGGGGGAGGGGGTAGCATGGGGTGGGAAGGGGTCGCTGAGAGGAGGAAAGGGTTGCCGTGCGGAGCTGGTGGCTTCATTTGTATTGTGCCACACGGGGCTGGTTGCAGCGTTTGTCATGATTGTCTGATTTAATAACTCTTAGAGAGTCATTTAAGAAGGAGCAGAGCATTGTAAGCTGTAGCTGGTGGCAGCGTTGGTGAGCGCAAGGCCACGCTCCGACACACTCAGCGCCGCCGGTGGAAACGAATCATAAAACTGCTCGAACGCAGACCCTGAAATAGGAAAACAGAGCAGTAAGATTGTATGTTGTATTGTGTATCCACACAAGCCCACGTTCACCATGGGCATGGGCAGCCCTCGGAAGTATACAGCGCTCGGTCCTGCGGCCTCCTGCGTTGTGAAAATGTGATTCCAATAACACCCGTGTCTCTCAACAATTTACACTGCCCTCCCCCCCCCCTCTCTGTCTGTCTGTCGATAAATCCAACATTTAACTAACTAATCCAACCTCTGTCCCCTCCGAGTGCACCGCGCCCGCGCCCGTCCGCCTGCAGGCGCCCGCCACGCCGACCCGGTGCGCAGGGCTGCGGGCGGGTTGCCTATCCCCGGGCGCTCGGGGGCCCCGGGCCCCACCCCTCCGCCAGGAGCCGCCGCTCGGCCCGGGCGTCACGATCTCCCGGGGAACGCGCGGGAGGGGAGCGGGATGGAGGGACGGGAGGAGAAGGGGAGGTAGTAGGAGGAATTTTGCCAACGGAATCACTTTTTGACAGGAGTCCTCTCCCTGCTGCCAGGCCAGGCCAGGCCACATAGGCCATATCTGCGGGCATCGCCGGGGATTTGGTGGCAACTCCACCCATATTGACCAGCCGATCCCTTTCCACCCG